CCAATCAATCTTTGTCAGCCTTTATTCCAATCAATTTGACACTGTTCTTTATGCAGCATATGTGAATGTAAGCTTTTTAAGTCATTAGAATTCAAATATACACTCAAAATTATAATTCCAACACCTATTTCAATCACGTAACCTGATAAAGCTTAAAGACTACATAAAACAAAATTGTTGCAATTTCCTTCACAAAAATTTGCTATTCTTTAAACTTGTTGATGAGGTCTTTCCGTGAATAGGAATAAACTCCTTACATACTTCAGTTGAATTATAAAAAACGCGCAAGATATGTGGTACCAACAGCACAACTGGCCCTGATGAGAAGGAAAGCATAAGCACTTGTGCGCAAAATAATCATTTATAGCTGCCACTCACGGGAAAGGGTAGTGAAATGTGGAGAAAAAGACAAATTTTGGAATAGTTTGAGAACTTGTTCATTCGTTGCGGTCACACGTTGGTGCAATTTATGAGGTTTGTTGAATGGTAGCCAATCTACTCCATTAAGCAGTCTGGAACGGAAGGTAAAAGAAAAAAAGCAGCCAGGCATTTTTTGCAATATTCAAAGAAAATTCATCTGTGAAGGAGAAGGAAGTGTGGCACCAAATCTTACATATTTTTCCAGCCGTGACTTCATTCTCGTCGCCTGACCCTTTGCGTTTTGACTATATCTTACTCCAGGCCCTCATTCTCTCAGTTTCTAATCATTACAAATTGTACAAACATGCTGTGCTTGCAAAGTCACTTGCATTTTTTTCAAATTGCCAGATTTATTGGTAAAGCTGTGCCCGCAACACCTGTGATGTTGATTCGCTCGAGAAGGCAATAATTTTATCAAGTCGGTGATACTATCTTAAGGTGAAATGACTGTCTGACTGCCAAACTGATTCATAGATGGCGCCATTGATTGGTCAATGCATAAATCCAACTTAGCTGTGCGCGATGGTGACAGTGAATGCCCTTTTCGACATAGGGAACAAATATGGAAAACAGCCACGTGAGTACAGATCTAGTGGTAGCAAATGCCCAGAAGGTCAGTCCTCCTCTGCTGTTATGCATAAAGATCATGCATGGGCGTCGCTATTCCATCAAAAAAGAGAAAAGAATAGGTAAGTAGGACCTATTAGGCAGAGCAATTGCCTTAAGATCACTCAATCACTTCCATTGAACGGATGTAAATGTATTACCATTTACTTCGGGCTTATACTAACGAATTCATTTGGTGAAAGCTGGCCCTAAACCACTGAAGTGAGCATGATTTTGCTCAAGACTATGATAATGCGCATTAATTCTTGAATCCAAATGCCTGAATTTACATCACCTGGCTTAAAAATAGGCCAAAGTTCACCTGAAACCTTTAAAATAGGCAGCATTTAGCCTCATTGGCTCTCAAACTATTATTGGTGTGGAAATTTATTTATACACTAGCCAAGCACTGAGCGATCGGTAAAAATTGCCGTGATATCCAAAATTGGTGACTGTTTTCTTTAGAATATTTCTCACAATGTCTTCTTTTCATGTGTGCAAGAGCAGACATATGCCCTTACTTAAAACCTGTGCCTATTTCTTTTTAAATTTTAGGCAGATAGCACAGGTGTATGCGACTTGAATAGTATATTAACAGTATTTGTCCTGACAGTAGTCTAAATGCTCTAATGTCTTGATGTACATCGCAGAATTAATCCACAGCAAGGAAGAAACAGAGCACGGAAAGTAGGGATGCATTGGTTCTCTCATTGAATTGTACAATGGGTTGACTATCACAAGTTATGGACTAGACGACCGGTTAGAACTATAGCTGCTTCCAAACTCGCTCACCGTTCTCCTCTAATGAGACAGTAGCGGATGTTTATTTTGCGGTTGACTTTGGCCAAATGTAAAAAACTATGTAGTCGGGCTAGCGGATGTTTTATCCATCCAGTTAATGTCGGGCTTTGCATTGCCGTATTCGGCTATTATTCCCTAACATAGACATGGTTAGCTATATTTTTTGAGACGTGTACGTCGGTGCATTGTGTTAAATTGGACAGTAGACTGAAGTTAATTGATTATCCTCAACAAATG